ATGCAGAATATTTTCTAGCTGGTAAATAGCTACTTTTAAAAAGACTTTGAAAGCAGTAGTTATAATGTCTTCATAAATAGAAATAAAAAGTCCATTTTTTAAAAGACAAAAAGTCACCATGATGTACATATCTATAAATTTCCCCCAACATATCATCATAGATCAATTTGTACTGCTTACATTTAAAATATCAATTGCATTATAATGTCTATGATACAATTCAGTTATTTAGCTCAGTTCTACACAAGATTCAGGTGAAACAAAAATTAAGGACCTTATTCACAGAACATTTAAAAGCATTTTATGCACAGTCTATGCATAAATATATCTTAAATTAGAATGATGCATACCTAATATGCATATAGAATATGGCTTACACATTAAAGGAGATCTAAGTTGTGGGTTATAAAATCCCACCACTCAGACTTAAAAGCTTCTGATTCTATCAATTTCTAAAATATTGCTTAGCATCATGGAACCCAGGAAAAAAGCAGGTGCAACAGAAAACTCGTTGGATGGATGGACCCTCCTTCACTTTATTCTTTAATTGATGGCTACTCTTGTTTTTTTCCATTCAGTTTCTACCTTTCACAAAGACAGATTCATCGCAGGATCATCGACGTGTTCGCACAGTGAAAAGTTACAACACCTAATTGTGCTTGACTTTTCTTGTCAGCTAATAACAAATAAAAGTAGTTCTTCAGTTTGGAGCAAAGGAAGGGCTCTGCACATGCTCAGGCAAAACATGACAAGGAAGCAGAGTCTCCAAGAATTGCAGTTCGTTTCTGTGTAGGAAAATTATAAAGTCACACCCAATACTATTATCTTATTATCTGTACAGAAAAGTGTGGGCTTCCATCTTCATAGATATTTTTGAGTACAGACACACACACACACACACACACACACACACACTTCTTGTCACTTATCCCTTGGCCTGTAATATATTTTGTCGTGTCCTAATGGGATCAACACCCCAGAAGGCAAATTCCATTCTGAGCACTAACGTCTGTCTCCAAAAATGGCTGGAGGTTCTTGTTATCCCAGAGCGTAGGTAATGTGTGACTTGCATTGTGATGACGCCCGTGTGGGTGACGTATCAGTGCTCTGAAACCACAGAGATGGAGGCAAGTTGGTCCACTGCTTCCAGGGACAGGTTTCACTGCAGTTTCCCAGCTTGACAGTTACAATGAAGTGGTCATTAGGTCGTGGGACCAGGGTAAAGCTCCAGTGTCATCATGGGACTTCAACCACAGCTTCTGAACAGCTCCACCCCTCATGCTGTTCCCATGTATTTAAAAGAGGGCCAATCTAGCCTGTTTTTCAGAGCTACAAAAAAATTTTTGCCCATAATTTTGTTTTACTTTCCTTTTACTTAAAACCTTGAAATATTTGTAATTACACAACTCTGCATAAAACAATACATGAAAGTTAATTTTAAAAATGCCTCATCTTTTGCACACGTATCACATAGTCACCTATACTATTACCGGTTCAAAGTGATGACAATTTTAAACTATCCAACTTTTGTCTTATAAATTTCCTTAACTTGATTGAAAAAGCTGGATGAAAACAACCAACACATTTCCTCCAAGACTGTCTTTTGGAGGAAAGACAATGGCAGAAGCACTGACCAAGAAAAATGGCAACTTTGAATGTGTTTGTTTGGCCAGAGTTACTAGCTCAGAATTTATGTTCTTCTTATTAGTTCCTTATATAGGAGTCCATTAAAATGGCCTGATCCACGTGTGTGTTGAAAAGGAGAACATCGCTTTGTGGAAAGTTGAGGATTTAGGATGTTTTTGTCCCGTTCTCATTATCCTGAAATAAAATCTAAATGAAAATGAAGATCATGTTTTAGTCATATACATGCATCAATTACTGTGTGGTAATATCACATTGGGCTTCATATACCTTGTCAGAAATAAAGGATTTATCAGTATATAATAGATATTTGTTTTATACCCATTGGAATTCCTGTTATTTTGTGTGTGTGTGTGTGTGTGTGTGTGTGTGTGTATGTTTTATTTCTTTAATTCCAGCAAAAATTTGGATTCCTTGGGTCAGAAGTCACAAACTCAAGTAGCTAAAAACAAGCCTGGAAGGCAGTATAAATGAGGTAAGTGGGCCTGTGTGAATGTGAAACCAGTAGAGTCACAAGGACTGTGGTGAACTAATGAGCGTAAGTCCTGCTTAAAGATATTCAAAAAGATATTTCAAATCAGTGTGGAAGTCAAACAAAGCAAATGCAAAACTAAATCTAGACCACAACACATTAGGTTTTGACCTCTTCTTGGACAGTACACGCAACATTAAAGGGCAGTTCCCTCTTGGTAGGAAGAGGGAACACTTCCCTCCCAATGAGTACCAAATCTGATATTGGTTTGCTTTGGAAGTGCCAGAAACCTCTGATATATCCTTCAAAGAAGACGATATAATAAATTATATGTCCGCACCTTTTAAAATCTTTTGAAATAATAAAGCAGCAATGCATTGTACATCCAATTCCAATCTCATTCACTTGAATTAACAAAATCATTTTCAAAAAGTAAGCAAAACAAAATAGTTTCGTGGATAGAAATTTCTTAGAAATAGTAGTGAAGTTATACAACAGTGTTACAAGTAGATTTCAAAGGTTGATTTCTTGCTCTAAGTGTAGTGTTGCACATTGATTTATGGGGTTTCATCATGGTGCACATTGAATTAGACGTGTTTCCTGGAAAAATATCTCATACTGGGGACCACACACTGAGAATGCAGCAGGCAATGGCTCTCAGAGATATAGCCAGGCTTCCATAAGATCTAAATTTTCCATGATGGCTGCCAGTGAAAGAGTAGCTATAGGTCACAAAGAAGGTGTGGTTAATATGCAAACTAGGAGCCTGTAGGCAAAATCTGACCTTCACACATATTTATTTTGGTCTACAAAGTGTTTCAAAAAGTTTTTGAGTCAACATTAAAAATGGAAAGATTTTTTCCTAATTTGTGCATGGTGAAAATATGTTGGATGCAAAGACTGGCTAGCTGCAGCCTTTAGTCAGGTGTGCTGTGCCCTTTCTAGAAGTTTCCAAGGCTGACCACTGCTCTCACCTTCCAGACAGCGGGCCTGAGTCATAGTTACCAGTTGTCACCACTCCTGTTGGTTTTTTACTTCCCTTATATTAGAGACCTGCCTATTTCTTGAAGGCATATAAATTTCACCTATTGAAGGCCATGATTTCTGGAAGATTGTGCTCCAAAGGCAGAGTTTTCTCCAATTCCTCCAAGAGGAAAACTACAGGATTTAGTTAGTGCTGATGGAAAAAAAAAATGTCTAACAGCTTGCCTGAGTTTAAATACCACTGTTTAGTTTGAGTGGGTCTAAAATCTTTCCAGCTTTGGAGTCTTTTTAGTTGAAAAACAAAAAAAGAGCCTTCAGTAACTGCCAGTTGAATCCCATTGAAGTCTTTTACTGATGAGATGCCAGAATTTTATAGATAATTTTTTTTTTGCCTGAGACATCTTCATAGCTTAAATAGTCAGCTTTACAAATGTACTGGTGACCTGTGTTTCCTACACACAATTTTTGGAAAATGTTCATAAATATTCCAGTTCCATATCATAAATACATAAGAAATGCTGATTTTTAACTTTTTTCTTTTGAAGCTACTTAGTGTGCACTGGTCATCGAGTAGGAATGAAGACTCTTGCTTAATTTTGTTTAACTCAGTTTTCTAATGGAATTTATTTGACAGAAACCTTTTTGTACTTAAAACATCTATAAATCCTCCACTGAATTTAGTTTTTCCTAAAACATACTTTGAGGGTATGTTGTATGTCATCAGAACTTAAGGACTCTTCTGAAACAGCTGTGAGCTCTAAAGTAATAAATTTATAGTTTGGATGGAGGGATGAAAAGAAATTGCTGTAGCTAATATGAGACAATATGTTAAAATTGTTAAATGTAGACATACATGGGTTTTAGTTGCTGAACACCTACTTTGTGGGCTTGATATCTACCCAAGCTTCATATGTAAAATAGGAATCACAACCACCGACTCTGAAATTGTTCAGAGAACTAAGTGAGATACTATATATGTAAGATGTTGATCACAGTGACGGACACTTGATAGTTGGTATTAAGGAAACTGCTATCAAGAAAAGACAGTCTTACAACCAACTCAAGAATACTGAGAGATAAATCATCTTAAAATCTAACCACAGTTTAACTCTTTCATATCTAAAGCAACATGTGAGGAGCTACTGATAACATTTCAACGACTTGGTATATGGCACTCAGCATTTTCTCTCTTGCGGCCATCACCCCCAAGAACAGGACTCGTTATAGCACGTGGGATTTGTTTCTTACTTTTTAAAGGAAACACTAAGACATCTCCACTATAATTACACAACCTTCCCTCCTAACAGCTTGCACTTCCTCTGTAGGCCCAAGACAATGGTTCTCAACTGTAGTGTATAGAATTACCAACAGACGGGATTATTAAAAATTCAGATTTCCAAGGCATCATTCCCAGAGTTATAATTCAACCTATGATTTAGTAGATCAAAATCAGACCCCAGAAGCTGAATTAAAAAAACACTGATGCAAACAAATGTCTATAGATTTTAGCAAATATTGATGTCTGTTTCATAATATGTACTTGCTTTGTTATCACCCAATGTGAACATTCATATTTCCTACGTGAAGTAGGAAGAGAAATCAGGATTAAACCTCTCCACAGCCTCCAGATTATTAATTTAAAGGATTAAAAGGTCTCACTAAGTATAATTTTTATTGATGAACAAATTAAATTCTTTGAAAAAGTAAATATTTAAGATTTTGCTTCAGAAAACAGGAGAGACTTTTTTTTTTTTAAAGATTCCAGGAGGGCATTGAAATAAGGTAACTTTGCCTCTAATGATATCTACAAGCCATTCATTTAAAAAATTATGTTTCTTGCCTAAAAAATAAAATTACCTCTCATGTTTAACATGACAGAAGCCTTTAAGGTATTTCAAACCTATGAGTGTGTATCAGCATGTTTTTCCTCAGCATTTACTAGGTCTTCTGAGTTCTTATGAAGATCAGGTTCACCTAAAACACAAGCAAACAGATGAACGGAAACAAAATAAGCCTGTGGAAAAAAAAACCTCATGAAGTCAGGAATCTGAAGCAAATAGTGAGTGTTGAAGACTCCATTTTGCAATGGGTTTTGTGGCACATTTCTCCATGGTTTCCAAACACGTTCTTTTCAGACTGTGCATTTAAAGAGCACAGCAGGTCACACTGTGGTAGTTACACAACGTCATGAAGTTGTAGTTTAATCTGGTAATACAGAACTGAAACTCATGAGACATGCTTAAACATCTACTAAGTCAAACATAAAAATTGTGCATGTTTTTTTCTTGATATTTTTAAATCAAAACATGTTGTTTCAAACAACCCTTCTACTGATCAGTGTCCTTTACCATACATGGCTTAGTTGCTATGAATTTGAACACATGACTATTAGAGAATAGTAATTTTTAAGATAAGACATAATCTGTCAAAACAAACTAATGGAATTTACAGTCTCTGAATCACTCACCATTTATATATACCTTGAAGAAAAAAATTAACATGGAAAATATGCCAACATTTATACAGAGGTTGCCTAGAATCTAATCTATCAAAAATAAAAATATAAAGCAGAAATGTACAGATAAAAGAGTCTTATTATATGGAAAAGAAAGTAAATAAAATAAGCAATTTCAATTTTGAGCCAATTACTCAAAATACCTTAATATTCAGGAAATAGTCATATATGATGGCATGTTCTTTCTATTTGAACTTAGATAAAAAATATACTAACAAGTTAAGCATCACACCAGTTATCTTTGAGATAATTCCTTTTATATATACTGTAAGACTGTGTCATCTCAGTTGCAACAGATTTTTTATTGAGGTTATAAAATTAATGAACATATAAGACTTATGGGGTGTTTTCATGAAGCAAAATTATTTTGTCTCCTGCTTTCTTTTTAAAACACTCAAAAAGGGAAAGTTATCTTCTGTCCCAGGATGAAATTTTCAGGTAGTGTCATGACTTTTGCAATCATTCTTGCATAATATAAACATTGCCTGATCACGTGAAGTCACCCAAGTCTTAACCAACATTAGAAAGTCTTGTCACCTATATTGCACATCAATCTTAAAACAAAGATCAAACAAAGATCATAGAAGATCCCTTTCCAACCTTGAGTTTGTGGCAGAGTCCAGAAATGGTGTGCATTTGGGGACACATGGTTGATATTCCTTTCTGGGTCATTCTTCCCCAATTGGCCACCTTAACTCCTGAGCTGGAGCAAGGGAGAGAAAGGGCTGAGAGGAAAAGCCAAGCTCCTCCTCGAGCAGCACACTGTAGGATGGCTCCACACTCACTAGACCTGGCAGGTGTTGAAAACTAATTCTTCTATGAGCACATTCATGGGCTCTTCAGGGGCTCTTTGCCAGGGACCATGGCTGGAGACATCTCACCACCTTGCAATGGGCACATGAAACTCTGGTTATTTACAATGTTGACAGCCCCCTGGAAATTTATAGTTGCATCTTTAGCTTCCGTGTGCTAAGGTCCTTTCATCCTTCCAAATAGGGATGGGCCACATCTGAATCACATGAAACACTCACGAAGCAACTGTTGCCATAAATTACTTGAGGAAAGACTGAAACCTACATAGATTCCCCTCATTTTGCTCATCTGTCACCAGCTAACCCTTTAGATCTCATGTTTAAACAAAACTCCATTCCCAATATCTCCTGAGGGTCCTGGTGCAGCTCCCTTCTCTTGATTTGAGGTAGAGGGAAGCATTTCTACATCTCTCCCAATAGCTGATAGCTCGTTAAAGAAATTCTACTTGCAAATCCTTTTTCAACCATTAACAACCTGACCCTTTCATTTGTTTGAGTTGGGTAAGGATTATAAGCATCCTATAATTGGCTTTGAATCTTCTTTGAAATTCCTATCTCACAGGTTTTATTTCTGACATTTTAGACTCATGGCTTAAACTTCTGATTTAGTATTCTGTTACTTAGGACTAAATTAGAACAGAACAGAATGAAAAGAACAGGCTGAATTAAAAGAGGAATATAAGTAATTCTCTGGTTCTCAAAATTTTGAGAAAAACTTTTACGATGGGCAAAAAACACTAAGGAAAAGGAACTTACCAGTAATGAAAGAGTGGATATGGAACAAAATCACCAAATGGTAACAATACAGCAATTACAAGCTAAAATTCTTGTTAAAACCAGTCTATATGTATTCTAACATGAATGTGTTGTTATATTATTTGTTTATTAAATCATATGTGATCTAGGTAACAAAGAATATAAATTAATGAGTAAGAATGACAAATTTTATTATTATTAATAGTAATATTAACAGCAGCAGCAAAAAGAGTAGTTAACATTTAGGGAATATTCACTCTGTGCTAAGCACTATGCTAAATGCTTCATACATTTTATCATTTAATCTCCCCAACAATTTTTATTACCCAAGTTTATATATCAGCTAAGGAGCAGAGCTAGGCATTCAACCCCAGAGTCATGTACTTCACTACTAAACCAAAGGGTTTGGTTGCACAGTGCTAACTCCCAGACCCAAAGGGGCAAATTTCTATTGGATTTGAAAGAGTGAAAGCATTCCTTGTTGCCTAAACAACAATGGCAGAGGTTCAAGTTGAGAAGTGTAAACATGCTATTTTTCATCTTCCTGCTCTGACAAGCTATTAGGATTCAAAATTCCGTTCTTCAGAGATGAATAATTTGATAGCAAGAATTGTGAGAAGCATTTTCTAAAGAATAAAACTCTTTTGACTGCCACTCTGTGTAGTAAAACCTACAGGAGACAGACTAAGAAGGACTCAGATGCCAAATCCTATATTCAGGGGAATTTCAAAGCAAAGTGCTGCAAGAAAGAATCAAATGTTTTCTTGCTATACCATGGAGGAGAGATAATAGAGATTTGTGACTCCAGGAGCAATAAGAAAGTATTCAATTTAAAAGTCAACACAAATATGTGACTGAGGTGCCTATTCTTAAAAAACCAAAAGTTGTAAATTAGTGAAAACCCTATTATAATTTTTGTCTTGATGATTTCCGACTCTCCACCCTGCAACACTATAGTCAACCATCCACTGTAGATGTTAAGGATCTCAAATTGCACTGTTTTCCCTGTATATTCATCCACACCAAGAGCAATGAATTGTTTCTAACCTAAAGACTGCAAACATCACAAGTTTCCTAATTTTTAGTGTTTATGATCCAATTCTTTAGTGAAGAGAAGACTGTTTTTGTATGAGTTTCCATCTAGAGAAGAGTCAGGAAAGCGTATGTCCTTTGACTCTGTTCTTCATTTTTCCCATGGAGACAAAAACCACTTGTCTCCATTCACAAGCTGAATACATAATTATCAGCAATTAGATACCTGCTAAGAAAGCATATTCGGCAAATATTGGTGGTATGCATATTCCAAAATTCTAGGAGTCTTTAGATGTCCCTGATAATAGACTATAAACATTATTTGACAAATTTGTAGACTGGTTGAATTGGGGATACCAAAACCCCAAACAAGTAATTTTTTCCTCCATCTTATTTAGCTTTAAGTCATAAGTCTTAGAGGGCTTAATTGGTAGCTATCTTGATTGAGGTTCAAAAATCAGCCAAAATAGAGGAGAGAGGGAAGATGGCGGCGTAGGAGGACGCTGGGCTCACCGCGCGTCCTGCTGATCACTTAGATTCCACCTACACCTGCCTAAATAACCCAGAAAACCGCCAGAGGATTAGCAGAACGGAGTCGCCGGAGCCAAGCGCAGACCAGAGGCCCACGGAAGAGGGTAGGAAGGGCGGCGAGGCGGTGCCCGCTCCACGGACTGGCGGGAGGGAGCCGGGGCGGAGGGGCGGCTCGCCGGCCAAGCAGAGCCCCCGAGTCTGGCTTGCAAAAAGCGGAGGGGCCTGACG